AGGCTAGAGTGCAGTGGCACAATTTTGGCTAACTGTAACCTCCACTTTCCGGGTTTAAGCAATTCTCCTCCCCCAGCCTCCCAAGCAGATGGGATTACAGGCTGCCCACCACCATGCCCGGCTTTTTTGTATTTTTAGTAGAGATGGGGTTTCACCATGTTGGCCAGGCGAAACTCGAACTCCTGACCTCAAGTGATCCTGCCGCTTTGGCCTCCTAAAGTGCTGAGATTACAGATGTGAGCCATGGCACCCAGCCTCTCTCTCTCTCTTTCTCTCTCTGTCTGCTCCAGAAAATGCCCGCTCCTGATGCATTTAGAACAAAATCCAAATTCCTTTAAGTGGTCTGTGAGTCTCTACCTGATCTTGCCTCACCTACCTCTTGACCGCGTCACTGACTGTTCCCCAACCACTGCGTGCCCACACTGGCCTTTCTGTTCCTCATACACCCCAGGTCACTCCTGCCGCAAGGCCTTCACGTTCGCCATTCCCTCTGGTAGGAGTGCCCTTTCCCAGGCCACCAGCCCCTTCTCCTCATTCAGGTCTCAGCAGAGGGAGCCTGCCCAGATAAGCCCCTCTCCCCCTCCCTCCTAGTTTATTTCCTTCATGGATGTGCTCAGCACCCAAAACTGTCTCTTGCTCTCTCCCCACCTTCACCAGATTATAAACTCCATAAAAGCAGGGTCTTTATTGGTTTCGTTCACTGCCGCACCCCAGGCATTCAGTGAGCACTCGTTGAGTGCAGAAATTAGACTGTCTTCCCCTCTAAAATAGGATCAGGTTAGGTGCGGAGGCAGGGGATGGACAAAATGAACACCTGCCAAAGCTCCAAAGCAGTTTCTCTAACCCAGAATGCCCTGACCACCAATGAGGGGGAGTTTCCCAATTGTCCTGGGATGAGGTTTTCTAGGGGGCCTAACCCCCATTTGAGGTTCACTGAAGCATATAGCGTCCTTGCAGGGCGGTGGTGTGGCTCAGGGTAACTCTTGTACACAGTTGGACTTCTTCTTCCCTACTGGCCCAAGGAGTTACCTGGCCACCCCTCCTGGAGCCTAGCCTCCTCCAGCTCCCCCAAGCCGGGCCCAAGCCCTCTGCCCTGGCAGCGGACCCCTTAGCAGAGGGGCTGTCCTCCAGACCTTTTGCAGCCAGGCCTTGCTGCCCACAGATCCCTGAGGACATCTGAGGGGGTTGATGCCCAAAACCCAGCCCCAGGCTCATGCAAATTCTGTCTGCCAGTCCAGCAGCTGTGGCCTCCTTCATTCTGGCCTTTTAAAAGAAATTCTTGGGCTGACTCACACTTCCTTTGTCCCCAGCTGGATTCAATCAAGTGTCATTGTTTTGCAAGGCTGAGGTTCGAGTCCCTCAGAAGCGATCTCCAGTGCAAGGACGCTATATGCTTCAGTGAACCTCGAATGGGGGTTAGGCCCCCTAGAAAACCTCATCCCAGGACAATTGGGAAACTCCCCCTCATTGGTGGTCAGGGCATTCTGGGTTAGAAAAACTGCTTTGGAGCTTTGGCAGGTGTTCATTTTGTCCATACCCTGCCTCCGCACCTAACCCTGTCCCAAAGTCACTCAGAAAAGTGCCCCTGCTGCCCTGGGGGATGCATTTCAATGTCTCATGTCCCCTGCTTTCCTTCCTTCCCCATGAAATCGGGTGTTCAGATTCAGCGCACTTCTCGGAAGGTTTGTTTCTTTCTGTGCAAACACGTGGAGTGATGCGTGGTCTCGATTTTCTAGAACAGTTCCACTTTCACAGAATTGCGGTTATTTTGAAAAAAAGGGTACAACAATATACTAGCTTGAGTTTCTTGTTTATTCCCTGGAAGAGTTTTTGTGTAAATAAAGTCACACTGCTCAGAGGGAAAGAAATCTCTGAGGAATTCCCTGGAGAGAAAGGGATGGGTGATATTTAACCCATTTTCTCCATCTCCGGTAGAAAGAACTGGAGTTTTGGAGGTCGGTTGATTTCTGGATACTTTTTTTGTGCGGGCTGTGGGGGGGAAGTTCGAACCTTTTTTATTGACTTTTTTTTTTTAGAGACAGGGTCTTGTTATGTCATCCAAGCTGCAGTGCAAAGGCTTGACCACGGCTCACTGCAGCCTCAACTTCCGAGGCTCAAGCGCTCCACCGCAGCCTCCCGAGTAGCTGGGACTACAGGCACACACCGCCATGCCTGGCTAATTTTTTAACTGTTTGTAGAGACAGGGATCTCCCTGTGTTACCCAGGCAGGTTTTGAACTCCTGGGCTCAAGCAATCCTCCTGTCTTGGCCTCCCAAAATGTTGGGATCATAGGTGTGAGCCACTGCGCTGGATCTGGAACCATTTTTAATAAATGGAAGTGAAATTCACGTAACATAAAATTAACTAATTTGAAATGAACAATTCAGTGATGTTTAGTAAATTTACAGTGTTGTGCAACGGCCACCTCTCTTTAGTTGTAAAACGTTTTCATCATCCCCCAAGGAAAGGAAACTCTGTATCCATTAACCAGTCACTCTCCACTTCCTCTTCTCCGTGATAGTTAACTTAGGTACCACTGGGCTTTCTTAGCTAAAGTCCCGGAAGAGGAAAAAAGTGTTTTCCAGCTGGGCCACCACCTGTGACAAGTTGTCATTTGCATGGAGCTGGGATTCTGTTCTGGATATGTATGTGCCATTCTATATAACTTTTTTTTTCGTTTTTTGAGACAGCGTCTTGCTCTGTTGACCAGGCTGGAGTGCAGTGGCACGGTCTCAGCTTATTGCAACCTCCGCCTCCCGGCTTAATTCATTCTCCCACTTTAGCCTCCCAGCTGGGACTACACGTGCCCACCACCATGCCTGGCTAATTTTTGTATTTTTTGGTAGAGACAGGGTTTTGCCATGTTGGTCAGGCTGATCTTGAACTCCTGACCTCAGTGATGCACCTACTTCAGGCTCCCAAAGTGCTGCGTTTACAGGCGTGAGCTACCATGTCTGGCCCCATTCTATGCATTTTAGCACAGCTGAGAGTGTCTAACCACCACCAAAATCAGTACACAAAATAATTTTATCCCCCCAAAACTTCCCTCTTCCTCCTGTTTTATGGTTGTCCCCTTCCCTGCTCCCAGCCCCTGGCAACCACTGGTCTGTTTTCTGTCCCTAGAGTTTTAGCTCTGCCCAAGTGTCAGATGACTGGATTCCTGCAGATGTGAACTTTTGGGTCTGGCTTTTTTTGCCCAACACAAAGTACTTGCGATTCATCCAAGTTGCTGGTTGTATCAGTAGTCCACGCCTTTTCGTTGCTGAGTAGTAGTTTGTGGTGTGGATGTACCATAGCTTATTAAATGCCTCTGTTGAATTGGGTTGTCTCCAGTTTGGGGTGATGGTGAATAGGCTGCTCTAAACATTTACGTAGAGGTTTTTGTGTGAATATAAGTCTTCTTTTCTTTTTGACACAGGAGCTTGCTAGGTTGCCCAGGCTGGAGCGCAGTAGTGTGATTATAGCCCACTGCAGCCTTGACCTCAGGGGTTAAGTGATCCTCCCAACTAGGCCTCCCAAAGTGTTAGTACTGCAGGTGTGAGATGCCATACCCAGCCTTGAATCTAAGTTTTTATTTCCCTAGGTGAGACACCCAGGAGTGGGAACGCTGGGTTGTATGTGAGCAGATGTGATTCTGGACTGTTTGACCTGGGAAAGTTAAACCTCTGTGGATCTCAATCTCCCACTTCTGTAAAATGGGTATAAGAAAAGTGCCCATTCCATTGATTATTGTGAGGATGAAATGAGATAAATAAGGCACAGAGTATGTGCTCAATAAATGTTGCCTTTTGCTTTTGGGTTGGATTTTGTTTCATCCGTATCTGTCGCCATGTTTTCACCTGCAGCAGGGGAGCTGTCGGCCAGTGCTGTTGCAGGAGGTGGGGTGTGAGGATTTCCTTGAACCCCCTTTCTGGGGCCAGAGATTGGACTCTTGGGGAATTCATCACCAAGTCTGGTAGTAGACAGAGGTCCTCTCTGTAGAAAAAAGCATGAGTTAGGATGCTGCAGTCCCTTTATTCCACAGAAGGGGAAAGTGAGGCTCAGAAAGGGACAGAGCCTTGCCCAAGGCCACTGAGCCAGACAGTGGCAGAGAAACAGTTGGTCCCAGAGCTCCTGACTTGCCAGCCCCATGTACCTCCACCTTGATTCCTGTGGCCAGTGTTTGTTGAATGACTGAATGAATGAGTGAGAACACATTCCTAGTACATTAGGAACACAAGCTCTGGAGCCAGCCTGCCGGAGTTTCGCATCAGTTTCTTCCTTGCACAAGCTGTGTGATTTTGAGCACATTCTTTGACCTCTCTGAATCTCAGTTTCTTCATCTGTAAAATGGGTACAATCATTATGTCTATTGTACAGGGTGATCAGGAGGCTTAAATGAGGTAATGTATGCAAACACTTACAACAGTGCCAGGCACACAGTAAGTGCTGAATTAAAGCTAACTTTGGCCGGGTGCAGTAACTCAAACCTGTAATCCCAGTGCTTTGGGAGAACAAGGAGGGAGGATCGCTTGAGCCCCAGAGTTTGAGACCAGCCTGGGCAGCACAGTGATGACCCCATGTTTACAAAGAATTTAAAAATTAGCCAGGTGTGGTGGTGTGCACCTGTAGTCCCTGCTACTCAGGAGGCTGAGGCAGGAGGATTACCTGAGCCCAGGAGGTTGAGGCTATAGTGAACCATGATCATGCAACTATACTCCAGCTTGGGCAACAGAGTGAGACTGTCTTAAAACAAGGTAACTTTTTTTTTTTTTTTTTGTAGACGGAGTTTCACTCTTGTTACCCAGGCTGGAGTGCAATGGCGCGATCTCGGCTCACCGCAACCTCCGCCTCCTGGGTTCAGGCAATTCTCCTGCCTCAGCCTCCTGAGTAGCTGGGATTACAGGCACGCGCCACCATGCCCAGCTAATTATTTTGTAGTTTTAGTAGAGACGGGGTTTCACCATGTTGACCAGGATGGTCTCGATCTCTTGACCTCGTGATCCACCCGCCTCGGTCTCCCGAAGTGCTGGGATTACAGGCGTGAGCCACCGCGCCCGGCGATAGTAGACTTTTATCAGATATATGACTTGCAAATATTTTTTCCCATTCTGTAAACTACGTAGTTTTGGATAATGTCCTTTGATGCACAAAGTTTTTACTTTTTGTAAAGTCCAGTTTGTTTTCTTCTTTTATTGCTTGTGCTTTTGCTGTCATCTCTAAAGATCCGTTGTCAAACCCAAGGTTGTAAAAATGTACCCTTCTGTTTTAAGAGTTTTATAGCTTTAGCTCTTACATTTTGGCCTTTGATCCATTCCATATGTAAGAGAGGGGTCAAATTTTCTTTTCTTTTTTTTTTTTGAGATGGAGTCCTGCTCTGTCACCCAGGCTGGAGTTCAGTGGCAGGATCTCGGCTCACTGCAACCTCCACCTCCCGGGTTTAAGCAGTTCTCTGCCTCAGGCATCCAAGTAGCTGGGATTACAGGCACCTGCCACCATGCCCAGCTAACTTTTTGTATATTTTGTAGAAATGGGATTTCACCATTTTGGCCAGGCTGGTCTTGAACTCCTGACCTCATGATCCACCCACCTCGGCCACCCAAAGTGCTGGGATTACAGGCGTGAGCTACCGTGCCTGGCCTCAAACTTTCTTCTTTTTCTTATAGTTCTGGCATTATCTATTAAATGATTCTTCTCCCATGGAATGATCTTATTGGCCCTTGTTGAAAAGCCATTGGGGGCCAGGCGCAATGGCCCATGCCTGTAATCCCACACTTTGGGAGGCCAAGGCAGGCAGATCAGCCGGCATCAGGTGTTCAAGACTAGCCTGGCTAACCTGGTGAAACCCTGTCTCTACTAAAAATACAAAAATTAGCTGGACGTTGTGGTACATGCCTATAGTCCCAGCTACTCAGGAGGCTGAACCTGGGAGACAGAGGTTGCAGTGAGCCGAGATCATACCACTGCACTCCAGCCTGGGTGACAGAGCGAGACTTTGTTAAAACAAAAAAAAAAAAAAGAGGAAGGAAGAAAGGAAGGGCCATTGGAAATAGATGTATGGGTTTATTTCTGGACACTCATTCTACCCTCTGGATCTCTGTATGTCTGCTCCTATGTCAGTACCACACAGGTTTGATTATTGTAAACTTGGTGCCTTTTGAGCCTCAGGTCATTTTTCTCCTATAAAGGGAGGGCAGAAGTGGATCTCTGGCAGGGGCTTGTGGAAATGAGCTGGACTAAGTCATAGCAGCTGGCAGCGTGCTTGGCCTGTAGCAGTTACTGTTATTATTATATTTAAGATGGAGGTTGTGCTTAAGGACTGACTCCTCCAGAGAGCTGGACATGTATGTTAGTCAGATTAGGCTGTTAAAGTACTGCAGACTAGGTAACTCACAAACAACAGAAATGCATTGCTCATAATTTTTTTTTTTTTTTTAGATGGGGTCTTGCTCTGTCGCCTACGCTGGAGTGCAATGGTGCAGTCATGGCTCACTGCAGCCTCCACCTCCTGGGTTGATGTGATCCTCCCACCTCAGTCTCCCAAAGTGCTGGGGTTACAGGTGTGAGCCAGTGTGCTCAGGCTGCTCACAGTTCTGGAGGTGGGGAAGTCCAAGATTGAGGCACTGGGAGATTCAGTGTCTGGTGAGGACTCAAATTCTGGCTGTGCCCTCACAAGGTGGAAGGGGCAAAAGAGCTCTCTGGG